TTTCGAAGCGTTAAGTAAATTCTTTACTTGAATGAGGACAATAATCTATCGTACGTGCTACAAATTTGGACTATTGTGAGCAGGGTTGCCAACTCATCGCATCAGAATAATAGAAATTAGTTCCTGAAAAGCAAAAAATTTCGGAGAAGAAAGAGATAGGAAAAGTGGACAGTTTTATTTCATTTGCTGTCATTTTTATTCAAATGTAGACATTTTTTACGTTCGTTGGATTTTTCTAGCTCATAATATCGAATATAAATACAAAAAAAGTAACAAAGATGGTGAATTCATTTTACTGAGTACCTTTTTTTCATCGTATACTTGTTTACCGACTGAATTCCTAACCGCAATCCTTTTTTTTTGAAAACAAATACTTGTATATATCTGTATACGATACTGATGAGTTCAGTCGAATGTGCAGTTCTGAAGCTACCTAATCGATTGATATCCAATGTCGAGAGAAATCAGGTGTCCGGAAAGTCATCTACCAAAAACAAAATTATATATATTCATTCTAGTTTGACCAAATGACCTCATTTTTTTCATGATGATGCAGGAAGGTTCTATATTTCTATTTATCAGCAAAAAGTTTAATAACCTAACTCAAAACTATTATTGTCTACTTAAAAGAGAAAAGTTTACCCTTTTTACTACAGATAAATGATAGATTTTGAGCTTCTATCATATAATTTATATCCGTCATCTCTTTAAATTTTCTCAATTTTGTAATAATTTATCTAAAATCGTTCAACTTCTTTTTTCCAACTGAGCTTTTCTAAGCAAAATCTAAAAGAAACAACGATAGAAAAATATGAACCATTCTAAATACCAGCAGTGCAAGCGATTGGCTGAAAACAGAATGATATTTCTACGTTGCCAGTAATGAATCGAACCGAAACCTCTTACAGGATAAAGTATGGTTTAAAGAGCAAAAATTGCTCAAAAATAAAGTTTATTTTTCGATGAAAACGCGGAATTTTTTGCGCAAAACGCAGAAGAAATGAATTAGTGTTAATTGCCCGAAAGAAAAAAGATTGAGAGGTAAAATCTTGAATGCACAAAATCTCGAAAAGCGAGAATCTAGTAACAGAAATCTCGAAAATGTAAAATGCAAAAATTATTCGAGTACTTGATAGATACATGGTTTATTAATCATAATTGTGTTGAATAATGATAACACCGTAGAAATAAAAGAGGATAGATATACAAAATTGACTACAATATACTGTTTTACCGCTTTACCTGGGGAGAAAAAAATAACATAAAGAAAAGTTAAAAGAAATAGGCTCACAAGAGAAAAAAGCAGTATTGAGTAGACATTCATGTTTTAGATTTCATGTCGTTTGCCACAAGTAATGATAAACCTTTGAGGATATTATTCCAAATCAATTTTCGCTTCTTCAAATCTTCACGATAAATTTTGAAATCGATGTTCCATAATAGTTTTTTTTCTTATTTTCCTTGGCACGCCACTTTGAACATGAACCAATTGTTGTTGAAACACCATCGTCTCCATTTTAATAACAGAAACAAAGTGCCAATGTTAGGATGATGTTGATTTATTTAACTGGTACACATACGAATCTAAGACTAACAAAGGCTTTCCTGTGCTACTAGAAATAAATTCAATCGAGATCATAACATGAAAATACAACCACTTGTTATGCAATGACAATAAGTAAATTTATGCGCACACACGTGTTTATGTACGCACAGAATACTGAGTAGACTGACGAAAAATCCATAGAAGGGAAAAGGGTGACTCATTAGTCATTTAGTGTTATCTGTTGTTTTTCGAACTTTCGAGATTTTCTATATTCGATATTTCACCTTTCGATATTTTGCCCTTCGATTTTATGCCTTTCGGGCAAATAACACTCCCCCGAAGAAACGGCAGCCCCGTATGCGAATCTTCTAAGTTGAAGATGGAAAAGAAGCCGTGACTCCCGTTTGTCCACTGATGGCAGACCTATCTCTACAACTTCTATTCGATGATTTTCTACGTCTAAGAAAAAGTTGTTGATCGGATTGGTAGTACACGCATGTTTTCAATTCTCTTTTAGTTATATGAGTCAGTTCATGGAAGCCACGACCGAACTTGCTCAATCGAGGTCGTCTGGTTTCCATCAATTTAAGATATATTGTAGAGGCAAGAGTTTTAAGATTTTTGATGCCAGCCGTTCGACAAAATATTGTTCCATTGTCGAGATATTCACATTTTTCTGAGAACAGTATCGGCAAAAATGCACATTTTTGTGATTTTTTGTGGTATCTATGCCTCATCAAGGATACATGCATTTGACTTGAAATTTTTACTGTAAATAGATATCATGAGTCTGTAGCATCAAACAAAAAATGAGCTCATATCGGTGAACTAGTGATGAGTTAACCAATACTACCAAGTACAGGAAAAATGTTTATTTTCGCCATTTTCAGCATATAGAAATTTAATGAATAGATTACTTTAGAGAGTTGAAATTTTGGCTATAGAGAGATCTCATTGAGTACTTAGTCCAATAAAAAATTCAGCTCTTTGCATGGTTCCTATTGTTCAGAAGAGCTTCCACAAAATCATCATTTTGACGAAAATCGCGATGTTGGGATTAGCCGATTTCCCAAGACATGGATCCTATAGAAGTCAGATTCATGTGATTTCAATGTATCCACTGAGTACTACGAAGTTATGAAAAAATTAGTGTGGGATTTCTAGAAATGGTCGTGGGAAACTAATGGAAAAATACCAAAAAATTAGCGTTTTCCTATAGGAAAAGTACAAAGTTCGCTTAGAAATTACTGCAAGAGTTTCATCATATGAGATAAATTCTACCCAGTAAAAGTCAGCATTCGATCCTCTATAACCCTCCATAAATATATATATTAAAAGTGAAACAGAATTGTTTTTCGAAAAAGTCCTCGTAGGGTGGGGAGGGGTACAGAGATCTATCTGTAGACACAGATTCTTTATGAAAATATTTTTTTTAGTCTTAAAGGATATTTTCATAGAGAGTTATACAGGATCAAATGCTGGTTTTTACTGAGTAGAATTTATCTCATACGGTGACACTCTTGGGGTAATTGTTAAGTGAACTTGGTACTTTTCCTATAGAAAAAGGCTAATTTATTTGTATTTTTCCATTAGTCTCCCGGGACCATTTCTGAAGGTCCTACGCTAATTTTTTGTAGAATTGTAGCCTACACAGAGTACTTTCCACTTCTACAAATCAGCTCCCAAAACAATCCATATCTTAGGAGATAATCTATCCTGAATAGCTTCATTTTTGGGAGGACTGTTCTAACCAAATGGAACAATATGGATAGGTGACATTTGCAGAGAATGTATATCCTTCAATGTTCTATCTACAGTAAAAATTTCAGACCACTACATCATCTCGATCAAAAATTATGGAGTATCAAAGTTACCAAAAATGTACTTTTTTCCATATATTCGATGGTTCAAAAAGTCCCACCGGCTCAATATTTTAAAACAAAAAACTTACAGTAAATAGGACTCACTGAGATATATGCTTGTAGAAAATTTTAGTTCAATCGGCTTAGCGATTCTTGAGATATGACTGCATTAGAACCTCCGTTGATGGAACTGATCATTTTTAGAACTTACCGTAAGATGCTTATAAAAAATCGAGGGTTCAAAATTTTCCAAAACGATTTGCGCCAAAATTCATAAAAATCTTTCCTCTACAACTAGGCATGTACCGAGCTTTTTTTCATTACTTTCGAACACTTTTATATTAACATCTTGCGCTCTGAAATGAAAGACTGAAACATGAGGTCTAACCTATCAAAAGATAGACCAAACATCGTTCTACAAAAT